TGATGGTACAAAAAGCGCCCAAAGACACGATACGTACCCAACGCGGCATATAAACGCGTAACAGTGCCGATACACTAAGAAACACTACTTTAAGAACTTTTTATTTTACCTCATCGTTGCACGGCATCATCTTCAGTTCTTCGACAATGCAAACCGCAGAACATCTCCAAGTCGTTCTGTGCCCTTTGGCAAGTAAGTAATAGCAAACACAACAAATGACCCTATCTGCATTATAGCCATCGTAAAATTAAAGAAGTAGCTTTTGATCTTCATCGCACTGTAAATGGTCAGAAACGTGCATACAAGGAACGTAGTGGTGTATTTCCATCTGTTCTGCGAGAACGTGCTCTTAAAATACTTCCTAAATCCTACGAGGAATCCTATCATCGTAAAGAACAAGAAATTAGAGAACGCGTAGGGCAGTGCAAACTTTGCGGGGCTTACAATGGCACCAAGGATGTTGAACAGGCTGTAAACAAACGATAAGAACGCCGCTACGAAAAAAATAAAGAAACACCCGAGGCGCTGCGAGAACGTGAGGCCGAAGTAGTCGAGGTCGTACTTGGTGCTGTCTCTGAAGTACCTGTTGTACTTGTTGTGTTTCAGCGGAATGCCGTTCGACATGTCGTATTCTTTGCTGTACTGGAAAATGTCTCTGATCGAGTTGCTCATCATGCCCCTCCTTTTTGTGTTTTTTATTTATTTTTTGGTGAAAAATTGATTGGTTGATAGAAAGGAGTGAAACGTGTTCTGATGGGAATGTGTGAGTGAAGCAGAGTGGTGATAAAAAGCAAATAAAATGTAAAATTTATAAAAATACTCTCTGATGGAGGATTAATTAGGACATAAATAGTAAATCTCGTATTTCTATGTAAGACTCCGCTTCAAGTGATGAATGCACGTATACGGGCTGATTTAATGAGTGGGGTATTGCCTGGAATAACGACCATATAAAAATACGGTGCTTTCCCAGCGCTTTGTTTATACGGCATAGAAATGATGGCAATTGAGTTATAATACACTCGTTCGCGAGATCTGCTAAAAATAGCTGATTGGTTTGAATAATACATTCGTACAAAATGTTCTTATTAGCGTGGATATTCTTGTGTGAGAGGAAAAAACAAGAGTAGAAATGTTGAAATGTATCCATTCATTATGAAAACTTGTTTCTGTAATTAAACACGTTACTTACACAGATTTTCTACATAAATCAATTATTTTTGGAGATATGTGTTTTATATGGCCATGATCACTCCTTACGAACCAAACAAGTATCTGTACGTAATCTGATGAGTGTAAATGAAAACATTTTAATTAAAAAATTGCGTTTTAAAATCATTTCTATCAAATATTACAAAATTTGCCCAATAAAAAGAAAAGAATGCAAAAATATACCGGAAATAGATACATTTAAATGATGTATAAGATTAGTGGATGACCGCTATCATTACGAAATGATACATAGGAATCGTAACAAAACACATGGTTTATGTTGTTAACTCGCTATGATATCGAAGAAGAGCCTTTTTAAACCAATTGATCAAAAAAATAAAATAAATGTATTATCACGCCTTTTTAACAACACTGCAAAATTGATTTAAAAGACAGAATAACATGCCCATGAGAAGCTTATGAATAAATAAAAACACTTTCCTGTTATAACTCTCTTCCATCCTTGTTTTATAAAAAACATTACATGCTGTTTATTGGTATCTGTTCGGTATGGTGAGCGTTTTATTTATTTCGAGCCCTCCTCTTGTTATTTCTAACAAGGATCAGAAAATTAATTTGTAACCAGAA